ATTAATTATACTATTATACATTTTATGTAATTATGTGAATCATTTGTCTAATTACGTGATTATTGTGGAAATATTCTTTCATTATTATATATGTGAAATTTCAAAGATTGTACATGGATTATTTGTGAATTAGAATTGAGACGTATGTTTTATTGACCACTACTAGGGCACCGAGGCATGCAAGACATGCTATTGTGTTTGGCCGCAAGTGAGACTTCTCGGGTGATTGCAAGGGTGGATATGGGATGTGCATTTGGTGATCACGGAATGATTGACGACTTGAGCGTTGACCGTTGTGATATGGTGATTATTGGTACCTCGGGTGGGATACTTACTGGGTGATTATGGGGGTTATCAGGGGATGTACCTCTGGTGGTCATAGGAGAATGGTCCACATGACTGCGATATTGTGATTATTGACATCTCTGGTGGGACATTTCTTGGGTGATCATGGAGGCAGTTAGATGATGTATCTCTGATGAACACGAAGGCTGATTCACTCGACTGTGCTCAGTTGATTATTGATCACTGATGTTGATATTGCGGAGAGCTCTATCCAGTGCCTAGTAGGTGTGTCAAAGGCACAATAAAAAATGAAGTTTCAAATGGAAATATTTCAAGTTTACAATGATGATTTTATCATGACTACGTGATGATATTTTCCAGTATTACGAGAATGATTCATAACTTGATTAATATTATCTGATGTTATATTGCGAACAATTAAATAATATGAACTCGATTTTTGATAAATATGTATAAACGAGAAAGTATTACTATTTTCAAATTTTTCATTCACTGAGCTATTAGCTCATATATTTTTCCACAATTTTCCTCCAGGTAGCAATTGATTCTTTATAGTTGGGGGAGCTTGATGATTTCAAAGTGGTAGTCACATGATATATTGAGTGATATGATACATTTGATAGCGCACGAAGTAATTATTTTGGGCCATTGCATTAATTTTTCATAAGCATTTGATTTTGACGCATATTTACTATTCATGGTCAGCCTAGGTTGTAGATCTGACTTCTAGTTAGTATCTATCATCGGCTCACGTTACGTTTCTAGTCCACTAGAGTGATTCGGGACGGGTCGTATCACTAACTATTGAATTTCATAGCAATCTTCACCATGGGTGCCACATTTGGGGCTGAATCACAAACTTCCCAATTTCAAATCCATACCAAAACAAACAATACAGATTCAGTTATTCAAATAACCCATAAATAAACATTTATTATAACACTAATTTGACAAAGAGTGAAGAAAATTCCACCAAGAGTTAAAGCAAACATAGCATAGTATCTTGTATACAACACAGTATCTTGGGAGAGAAGCTTATGCAATTTTATTTTATTTTATTTTTGATTTGAGTGAGATTGCTTGTGCTGTTGATTTAGATTTGGGTACGACGGTGTGACGGTGTGCAGTGGCGACAGTGGGCGGCATAGTGTGGGTGGGTGGCGACGGTGACTAGTTTTCCGATTTTGGGTTTTGGGCGTAGGGGTGGGAGTAGATGAACAATTCATTTTTTATTTAATTATTTTAATTGTTTATTATAAAAAATATAATTTTACTCTTTTACCTTTCATTTAATTTGTCAATTTGAGTCAAACATCTAATTTCAAGGGTAACTAACAAAATATTGGATGGAATGTGACCAGTGGACTCTGGATGCTATTAAAGTGAGACAACAAAAATAAAAGGTTAAAGTGTTTTCTGTAGCAAATTGAAAGGTTTGGAACTTCCACTGCAATTTTTCCTATTTTTTATGGTTTAAAATTTATTTA